CGAAGATGTGTAGGAGGCCTGTAAGCCCAGCCCCCCCCACACTGCACCACCACTGCTGCTGCTGGGGGGGGGAGCAGGGAGGGGCGGGGGCAGCACAGAGCGAGAGAGGGGCAGTGGGGGGTGGTGTACAGTGAAGGAGGGTCGTGAGGAAGAGGGAGGTTGGGAAGCAGAGGAAACGGAGGCAGGGGCAGTGAAAGACATGGAGGAGGAGGAGGACGACGACAGGGAGAGGCAGGAAGGAGCTTTCTGATGCTGCTGCAGAGCAGGCGGCAGCCGGGGAGGAAGAAAGGCATCAGCTCGGGAGAGTAGGGGTTCGGCCTGGGCGCCGGAAGAGGAGGAGGAGGAGGAGGAGGAGGAGGAGGCAGCGGCATTGAGCAGCGGAGGAAGAGGGGGCAGGGAGAGTGTGGGCGGGGGAGGGGTGTGCAGGACAGTGTGGGCACGGCTGTGCTGGGGCTGGGAGAGGGGAGGGGTCAGGGAGCTCGACCCAGGGGAGAGGAAAGCAGGGCTGGCCTGGGGGTTACTGTGCTGCGGCTGAGGCTGTTGCTGCTGCTGCAGAGGGGAGGAGGAGGAGAGACTGAGCAGAGAGGTGAGGCCACCAGGGGTGGGCAGGCCGGCCCCAAACTGATGCGAGGAGACTGAAGGCACCACGTGGTTAAAAATACCTGCGGACACACAGCGGACAGAGAGAGGGAGCAAGGGAGCAAGAGAGAGAAAGAGGGGCTCAGCCAGGTTGTGCATAGCAGGAAGCAAGTCATACACAAGCAAAAAGAAGAGCCAGCAGAGAGCATCGTTTAGCAAACATTTTTTCTTTGACTGCAGTATTGGGCGGAGAGTGTTGATAAATTTGCACCAATGGTAAAATGACTTCAAAAGACTATTCTAAGCCTTCCAGGGCTGGATTTACCAGTATGCAGTATTTCTATGCTTATTTCAACTTTGGATCTCAGAAAGAAACACTGACACTCCCCACTTTCTTCTCCAGAAATGCGATGACACCAGTGTTTGCACTGGAATAGAAAGCTGAGCCTGTCTAAAGCAGGCAGAGGAGGAAGCAACATTTATTATGGAACGGCACTAGGTTGAAAAACACAACATGAACAAGGAATCTTGCAGTCAAGGAAAAAAAACAAACAGTATGATTTATCCCATGATGCATAATATCAGGTTCCTGTGTGCTGGGAGGAAGGCATCTGTCCAAGATGAGAACAGCAACATCTATGGTTCTGCTAGGTGGTATAATTTGGGGAAATAAAATCCCACTGCATTTTAGTGTATCCCATTTTGAATAAATGGTGTTACAATTACAAATGTGGGCATCCAAGTTTCTTGAACAGAGTGAGGAGCAGATGAGCCTTCAGCGCCTGAAACCTGAGATGCCATGGGACTCGGATCTCCACGCCTGCACACACATGGATGAAAATAAAACCTGCGGACGTTTCTGATCCGTAGCGTGTTTCCTGGACGAGCAGCGGAGGGCCCAGGCTCCGAATCTGAGGAATCATGCAGGCAGGGCAAGACGAGGCGCCAGCGCTCAACTCTCACTTACCTCCATCTGTCCGCCCATCCTGCAGAGCCCAGAGCCACACGCCCCCCAGAGCTTCCACCAGCCTCGCTGCCTATTGCCCTGTCTGCTGCTCTCATCCAACCCTGAACTCTCCCTGTGTAGCCAGGCTTTCAGAGAACATGGTTTTCATCTTTCTTTCCCTTCACAAGTCTCTCTCCCTCCAATCTCCCATGCAATCACTTACAAACCTGACAAAGGCCGAAGAAAGAGCACTCCAGTCTGAGGAGAAGGGGGAGAGAAGCTACATTTGGATTTTAGCAATATGTTAAAGCAGAGACAGTCCCATACTAGGAGTCTGGTACAAACTGCTGCAGAACTACACAACAGAAATGAGCAGCAGTTAAATCAAGTTAAACAGATAACTGTGCCAAACTCCTGCGATGGAATAAACTGTGATTGATTACCTAATTGTCGCCACCCATATCAGGAAAGTTGAGGGACTACCGAGCTGCAATGAGCTCCTGGCTCTCTTGAGGGGAAACAAGACTCCTACTCCCTAACAAGTGATCCGTTTCAAATCTTACAGGCTTTATGATCTTTGTACAATTTGTACCAGGGAAGAAGAAATACAACAGCTAATATCTATCACTAGAACCAAGCCACGTGGGATTAGGACGCTCCTGGGTCTATGAATAAAAATAACTGGAGATTCTAAAAATGCTGTAAAATAAGGGTAGGGAGTGGGAGAGATTTGGCGCTTGGCGTTGTGCTGCGGAATAATGACAACGGATCTGCGCAGCAAGAGTCTGGTTTCCCTGCTCCCAGCTTGTGTGTGTTGGAGACTCGGGGAGAGGTAGCAATCGTGGGGGAGAGACAGGAGTACGGAACACAACAGAACTTACCTCCTGCAGCACCCCCTGCAAGCCCAGTACTGGAGAAAGACCCAAGCGCCGCATGTCCATTCACCAGCCGAGGGGCTCCTGTGGTGGGCACAGTAGGCGGCTGGTTCCCAAACAGCGACTGCAAGACCGAGGAGCCCCCCAGAGATCCCAGATAGCCCCCAGAGGCCGAGGACACCACGACGGGGCTCCCCGGCTTCCCGCTTAAGATCCCTCCGGTCGCTGCCGCCGAGATGAAGAGGTTGGGGCTGCCCAGGCTGACCCCCGAGCTGCTGCTGCTGACTTTGAGCTCCCACTCCCGGGCCTTGGCTTTGGAGCCCTGCGGCGGCTGCTTGTCGGCCGGCCCGCCGGCGCGCAGGCCCGGTTCGGGCGCCTGGCTGAGGAAGGGGTTGTGACTCAGGAAGGCCGCTGCGGCCTGGTGGGGCCCGCACGGAGAGTCACGGCCTCCGCCGCCCGGGCCTATCCCCAGCCCCGCCTCTCCGCCTCCTCTCCGCTGTTTGTGATCCGAGTCCGAGTCGCAGCCCCCCGGCGCCCCGCCGCCGCCCCCTCGGGCCCCCCCCCCAAACGGGGAGCCGCCCTGCCGCAGGTCGGGGAGGGTGGGCTTGGGGTCCGAGATCGGAGAGAACGTCGACTTCCACTTGCTGGAGGAGGAGGAGGAGGAGGAGGATGACGAAGACGAGGAAGACGAAGAGACATCACTGCAACCAATGCTGTTCAAGCCATTGCCCAGGGCCTTCCTCCCTGCTGGACCTCCGCCTAAGAGAGGGAAGGCATTGGGGGTGGGACAACAACAAAAAAATACATTAGACAGTGTGCACATGGGGACACCTGCATGATTCTTTAACCCTGATAGACCCCAGTCCCGTCAATACCCTTCAGATTAGCATCAAAACAGCATCCAGTATAACGGGGTACTTCTGGATCAATTCAAGTTCACTCATTCGAGTGTGATAATACTTCACAGGCAGGAAAGAAAACACACAAGCACTCCAGCTTGCGGACCAGGAGGCTCGTGTGGGAACTCGCAGGGCGGGAGCACAGCCTCTCACCTTTGTCACTCTCTCCCAGCTTCAGCAGGCTGTCTTTGCTCTCCAGGGAGATGGTTGCAATCTTCCTCTCGATCCTAGAACACAGGGAAGGATGCCTTAATGGCAGGCCAGGCCAACACAGCGGCACTTCGCCCCGCGCGGTCGTCCGCGCCACCCGCCGGCCTTTACCGAGCGCTGGTGCTGTCCTCGGGGTAGCCCCTCTCGTCGTCCTCGGAGCTGGGGGCAGAGGAGTAGCGGCCCGACCCGTTCACCTCCAGGGGACGCTCCCTCTTCAGCACCGGCGGCTGGTCCAGGTCGGGCCCCGGGGGGCTCCGGGTCGACTGCTCCGGGGACGAGATGGCCGCGATCTCGAGGGGCTGGTTAATGTTGTTCACCTGCCGGACCCCGAACACAGAGGCACATTCAGGACACCAGTCAGCACACGGGTACGCAACCTACCGCAGGATACAGCGGACAGCAGGCGTGGGCTACACGACCTAAAGCGAAAGAGACTGTCGGAAATCACCACATCCCTAACATCAGGGAAATAAAGCTAAATTACACACATTTAGCAAGAACCGCTGCCAGTCAGTTAGAAGTACCTTAACATGCCCACACCCTGGCCAATCAGACCAGCGGAGGACAAGGTCATGATGAAACGTTTAAACACAAGTTAGACTTGCCACACCAGAACAAATGTACAGCACATTTTAGTTTATTTTTTTACTTCTAACTTTAGTCCTTAGTTTAGTTTGCTTTGTTTAAAGTAGGCTTCACCCCCCCCCCCCTTGCTTGTGTTTAATATAAAACACTGTCTTTGCTGCAGAGGACCGAGGTGCGATTAAACCCGCACTGCCAGAGCTGTATGCAGATATCTAAATACACACAGAGCTCCTTGGATTACGAGCTCAGTATCGCAATGATATGGTCTCAAAAGGACACGGCTCAGAATGACGTCGGTAAATATAGTGCAACGGTGCAAAGTTCAATACTTTAATGCCATAACAACAAGCTGCATGCAATTTGGTTCGGTGAACTCATGCAATTGAAGACGTACAATACAAATATACAACATAAAGCCCATGACAAAATGAACCCCCTCAGCACATACACAAACCATCAGTGGGGCCTGCTGGAATAATAATTAGCCTTACAAAAATATTCAAAGTTAAAAGTGCAGACTGCATACATCTCACATCCTCCAGGTAGGTTCCGTTTCAGAACCTAGAAGTCTGTCTTATTAGACCTGAGATTCCTACCACAGGGGAGAGAAGTAAACAGGATCAGGGTGAAATCTTTAGAGATATGAAAAGGTTTGAAACCTTCCTCTCTCTCCATTTGTGCAATACATGTTTACAGATTTGTGCAAGTACAGAAGGCGGCAAACGAAATTTATAACATGACACTTTATAATGTGATTTCCTTCACCCTACGTATTTTTTTAATATTGATGATACAGAGCACAAGACGTGTGAAGTACTGTTTTTCCCGTAACTGGTGCTCAAGCAGGCAGTGGCCTGGCTCACCATGGAGTTGATGTTGAGGGGGGACCCTGAGGAGTGGCTGCCCAGCCCTGGGAAGGACCTCCTTTTCGGGGATCCCCCCGCGCAGAGGGCCGCGGTGGAGTTCCGCTTCCTCCTCCCCCGCTTGCGGCTGTCCTGGGCATGGCAGCCGGAGGAGTGGTGGTGGTTGTGGTGGTGGTGGTGGTGGTGACCGCTGTGGTGATGCTGGTTTTGTTTGGAGGAGCTGGCATGCAGCCTGGATCCTGAGCCCCCCGAGGAAGAGGAGGACGAGGAGGACGACGAGGAGGAGGAAGAGGAGGAGAAGAAGATGCGGCGCTTCGGTTCGCCTTCCGGCGCTTCGGAGTCCGATCCCGCCTGCCTCCCCCCCGACCCCAGCTCCGGGGTGATTCTGGGAGGCCCGTCCGCATACTGCAGTACCCCTCCTGTGCCGAGGGGGGGGCTGTGCCCCGAGCCGCGGCCCTGTGTGCCCAGGAGGGGGGCGCTGTACGGGGGGGAGGGCGAGTCCCCAGAGTCCTGATCCAGAGAGTGTGAGCTGCCATTCGTCATGAGCGAGCCAGAGGAGAACCCTGCGGGTGGAGAGGGTGGAGACTGAGCACACCAGCTACAACTGCAAGCCTCCTCCTGGAGAGGAAGCTCCACAGGGCACTTTTGAATGTCATTTCCACCCCGTGGTATTAAAATAACGATCCACAACATCTTGCACTTATCAGCTTAAGATTTGTGCAAAACCAGGAGAACAAAAGCCCCTGCAGGACAAGGCTGATCATGCTTGTTGCAAATTAAAGGGGAACTGCAGAGCTATTTTCATGTTTTGGGGTTAGAAATAATCAGCATCGATGCGTGCATTTCGAACTACAATGAAAGCAAAGTGGACATGGCAACTTGTAAAAACTCCAGCTTACATTACAAAATAGAAAACATTTCCAGGTTCGCACAGCGACATGTTATGCAATTCAGAACGAGGCACCAAAATTTCCCAACGACATGTTGCAGCTCTGTTGCACTGTAAACAAGCAGGCTTGCGAATACATCTCTTAATCCAATAGAAATATTGCCCTCGGCTTCCGAAACAATCTTGCCAACAACAACTACTACTTTCTTGCTAACTCGTTGGAACATTTCTGTAGTGAAATGTCTGCTGCACAACTTGTACTTATTCACTTGTACATCACAGTACAGAAATGCAGTGAGCAGAAAGGGCCACCTCGCATCACAATTCTTGTGAACTCTTGCTCCTGCTCGTGGCCAGACCAGGGCTTTGCAACAACATGGCGACTTACAGTACTTTCACAATTTTGTGCTTGACTCGAAATCTGTAACAATTTTCTACAGCATCAATTAATTTTTGTTACCGAGATTTAATAACCGGTCTGAGAAATAAAGTACCGAGAAGTACTTGGAAATCTGGAACTGAAAATAGGGAGCGGCTCTGAAACTACTTTGTAACAACTGTGTGATACAGCAAATGAAACAGAGTCACTTCTAAAAACATCTGTATGAAACAGTTAGGAGTGAGGGGGCTGCTGGATACGGTACCTGAGGTAGGCGTGGGGACTGCCTTGCTCCCATTCTGACCTGCTTTGTCCTGCAAGGCATGAGACACCGGACTGGGGGTGCTCCGCTGGAAAAGACCAAAGAAAATGGGACAAATGGGGTCAGTTGACGCCAAGTCAACACAGCACCGGGCTCCGAAGCAGTTCGCAGGTCCGCTGGGTCCGGCCTGGAGGGGGGAACGGACACACTCACCAGTCTCTCGGCACGGCTGGGCAGCACCACACTGGCGAGGGGGATGCTAACGGGGAGCTTGCTGGGGTGCACTGTGCTGAGGGGGATACTGATGGGCAGGCTGGTGATGGTGTCTCCTGGGACCGAAGGGCTCTTCTCCTTAGCCACCTGCAGGCGGCAGAAATGAAACAAGCTCTCATAACCACTGCACATTCCTGTCCTTTAAAAACAGAGGAACAAGCAGGAAGAGAGAAGGACACATGACAGACCGTAAGGGGAAGGCGTGAGCTTGGCAAGAGTGGCAGGATTTACCTTGTCAGCAGTTTTGGGCATCGAGTTGTGTTGCGTTTCTAGTAAAACTGGAGAGGGGCAAATCTGGCCCTGTTTGGCCCCGAGGGTGGGAGGTGAGACAATCCCCTCCTTTCCATTGTCCCCTCTGTGGAGGAAAAGAAAAAAGAAAAGGACATTGAGCAAGATTCTGAGCAAGGACGCACAGACAGATCCCAGTAACACACCCCAGTCTTTAAACAGGAATGACTTGCAGGTTTTACGTACAGCTGAAAAGGCTATTACTACTGTAAGACAAAACACAAGACATTTTTAATGTCTTTACCTACGTATAAAAAGACTGTCTAGCGGAACGGCCTGCCTGAGACAGATTGACACATGGACTGATCCAATCCCGACTGACCTGTACAGCATAGCGCCAGGGCCGCGGGTGGGGCCTAAGATGGGGTCCTGGTTGAGGTGTCTCCGCAGGGCGATCTTGGCGGGCGAGAACCGGGTGTAGTCGGGCAGCGAGTAGCCCTGCCTTTGGCGGGCATCAGGAGTCGGGGGCACAATGTCTTGGTCAGGAGGTGAGGGAAGGTAGCGGGACATCAGCTCAGCCTTCCCTCCCCCCCTTTCAAAGCAGGGCGAGGAGGTCCCGTTGATAGACAGCTCGGGACTCAGGCCATTGACCACCCCAGGGACCCCCAGGGCCAACTTGGGCACCTCGGGATCGAGGGGAGGCCTGGGATCTAGGCTGGGGGGACCCTTTGAGCGGTATGGGGCGTCATCGCAGGGATTGTAAGATTTGAGCTGCAGCAACTCCTGCTGTCTCTGGCTCTTCTCCAGCTCCACAATGCTGATCTGGAAAAAAAAAGCACCAGGGGGCATTATTACCCCAACAGAAGGAGGGTTTGCAGGGAACACTTCCTAAAAAAAAAACACTAATATCTTCTGTAACTGAGATTTTCACTTAAAGACGTTTGTCTATCTTTTGGGGCTTTGAAATGTACATCTAAGGCAGGTTTCCATAAATCAAAGTAGCTGAAGATATCAAAACTGCCCCGTAAGTTCAGTAGGAAGCAATGTTGCCCGAAGCGTTTTTAAAGCGAAGACTGGACAAGAGTGCACTCTTACCTGCAGCTCCAGGCAGTGCCGCTGCTTCTCCGAGATCTGGCTGCGCAGGCTCTGCTTCTCCTTCAGGAGGCTCTCCAGGCACAGGGAGCCCCAGTCAAGTTTCAGCTCCTCACAGCGAGACTTCAGCTGCAGCACGGAGAGACACGGGGAAAGCCAGATTAAATCACGGCCAGCACCACCTCAAGCGTGCTGTGCTGCATAGAAGAGTGCAAAAGAAACTTAAAGACAAAGTCACGCTCAAAAGCAAGCAAAGGGGGCACCAGGTACATATGAGCTGTAAAGGGATATAAGGAAAGAAAGTTGAAGGACAAAGGGTTTAGAAAGCAATTTAAAGGAAAGCAAGACTGTGCATGGAACAGAAGTACAAGGTACGTAAGGGGGAACAGGTATGTACATAGTCAAAGCATATAAGTAATGCAGGTGAACCACAAAGCAAATGTTTCTGAAGAGGCAAGTAAGTGTACAGGATGTGTAAAGAGGCCTCTAGCATGTCTACATTAAGGTCCCATTTGCCACACAAGTGGCTCCAGGCAATTAGGGGACCGAAGATATTTTCCATAATAGCAGGTGTAAGAAAAGGGCACAAACAAACAAACAAACAAACAAACAAACAAACAAACAAACAAACAAACAAACAAACAAACAAACAAACAATTTATACAGTGCTTTCACCCCCTAAGATCAAAAAGCACTCATGCAGCACTTAATCCTTCTTAAATACCAGGTGTTCAAGAAGGTAGTGGAGAAGAAAGGAAGGCGTAGGGGCTGCAAGTCAGGTACATGCAAGGTAGAGAGGTGTATAGGGTGTGTAGAGGGCAGGGAGTCCTGCAGTGTCTCACCAGCAGCAGGCTGTGGTCCCTCAGCTCGGCCGTATCTCTCTCCAGCTGCTTGGTCTGCTCCTTCAGCTGCCGGTTGTGAGCAGAGATCTCCTTCTGAGCCTGGACCAGGTCGTCCAGGGTCAGGGCCTTCACTCCCAGCTGAAGGGGTGGAGGGGAGGAAGAAGAAAAAATAGGACAGGACAGGAGGAGAGGAGAAAGACAGATGGTTAGATGTTATGTCGGTGCCTGCATGTCACTGTGAGTATGTCAATGCACTTATCAGGAAGAGCTCCTTCTTCTACAGGCCTGGGAATTACGGTCTGGATGTGCTTATTGGGATTCTCACAAGAATGGTAACAAACCAGAGAGGAAGGAATCTGGCCCCTCTAGCCTGTTAGGTAGTCATTTTGTGAAAAGAAGCCAGCAACATGGCCGATTAGCTTCTTCCGCCCTCCCACAACCCTTCAGATACAGAAGTACCTTCTTGTTCTTGGCTTTAAATACACACCCATATAGAGGACATAAGGCCAAACTGGCTTGTGTTGCAGTGTTCATTCTGCACACGTCTGCTGTGGTGCCTTTGTCAATGCTATTTGAGGTTTTTGTGCATCTTTATCAGATCCCCTCATAATCTTCAGCTCAAGACTGAAAAGGCTCTGTTGCTTTAGTCTGTCAGTGCAGGACATTCTGTTAAGCCCCAGGATACACCTGGCTGCTCTTCTCCAGACCAATTCCAGAGCCACACTATCTTTTCTATGACATGGCGACCAAAACTGTATACAATCTTTATATAAGGCCTTACATGCACATTGTACCACTAGTACATTTAATATTACACGCCTCGACAAAGTGTTTTTGAACAGTTTCTCTACATGTACTGCCTACTGCACCAGGAAGCTTTAATAAGTATTCATTTTTAAAAAGATTCTCTTTTCCTCCAGGGTGACAGGTGCAAGGGTTTCTCACCTCCTCCAGTTTGCTGTGGAACAGCCCTTTGATCTTGTCCTTTTGAGACTGACACAGGCTGTACAGCTGCTCTGCACGGCCAGACAGCTCACTGTGCCTGAGCTGGAGGAGACAGAGGGGGGAGGATGGTGTGAGAGAGGAGGGGGGAGGGGAGAACAAAAATGCAGTGATGACGACACCTAAACATCTCACTATAAAAAGAGGAACAAATTACTGGTTAAGTTTCTTGCTGGTTTTTCTGCCTGACCTAGGGAGAGTGAGGAAGGGATGGACTCTGTGTGAGAAAGAATTAAACAATGAATCAGACTGGTAAATAATCTACAACCGTCTCTATATGGATTGACAGAGAGAAGAACAAATGAGAATCACAGCAGCTACATGCAAAACATTGTTCTTACTAAGAGAAAAGGTGGGACTGGAGATTCGAGAGAGAAAAGGCAATAAACAGTGTCGCATTACTATTTCCCTGAGAGGCAAATTTGAGATTTTACCTTCTCCTGTTCCAGGACTTGCTGGAGATTAGTGCGGTACTGGGGTGTCTTCATGTAGGCCATAAACTGTAGATACTGCACCTTGATGCTATCTGTAACACATCACACACACACCCGCACACGTTAAGTAGCATTTTCTTTTTTCTTCACCTATCAATTCATTTTTAGCACAGATTTCTGCCTCCCCTTGTTCCCATTATTAAAGCCAATTCTTGCGGCGGACCTCCTGGTGCTCTCGGACCCGAAGGCCCCTGCGATACACCTGCAGGTGCACGCTGACGCGCTCAGAGGTCAGCTGGATACACCTGTACGTGCACGCTGACGCGCTTGGAGGCCAGCACGAGACACCTGCACGTGCACGCTGACGCGCACAGAGGCCAGCAGAGACTCACCCAGTAGCTGCTGCAGGGCAGGGGGAGTGGGGCCCAGGAGTAGCTGCCCAGACGCATAGTGCTGCACTTTGGGAGGTAGCTGATAGAAGGGGCTTTGAGGTGACTTGTATGCATCTGCAATGTTAAGAAGCCACAATTAACCACCTTTATAAAGACAGAGCAGGATAGTCCAAAAGCCTGAGAAAAAATTAAACTCTGCTTATTGTATGGGGGTTGTGATTGCGAGTTTCACATCAAGTAATTTAAATAAAACATCAGTCTGCGGTGCAAGAGAAAACTCTGAAGGTCTCCTGGTCATCCATACTCTACAAACAAATCAGCACAATTCACACAGATACTAAGCACATGCTGAACAAAGACTCGAACACCAATCGCACTGCTATATTTGCACGCACAAGAATCCACACCCTGAAACTGAAGCAAGCATTTCTCCTGATTCATTAAGCATCATAACGTAAATGTCTAACTCTTCATGTCTGGTAGCAACACCTGTTTACAAGTCTGCGGGAGACTCGCTGGCCCTAGCAGCTGGCAGTCTAGCAAACTGGCTGAGTTACGGCTCGGCCCGCCTCACCCTGAGGGGGCGCTGTGGAGTGGGAGACGGTCTTGGCGTGCAGCAGCTCCAGGGCGCTCTGGGTCTTCTTGCTCTTGCGCTCGGCGGCGGCGAGCGTCTTCTTCGGGCGCCCGCGCTTCCTGCCGCCCAGCTTGCGGCCCTTCCCCATGAGCCGGGCGCGGCGCGGGCGCGACGGGGACGCCTTCGCCAGCGGCACAACCCCCTGCTTCTCGTCCTCCCCGCCGGAGTCCTGGGGCCGAAGACGGGAGAGGGAGAGAAAGGGACAGAGTGAGGAGCCGGGAACGGCAGCTGAACAGAGCCAGACCAATAATAACCATCTGATAATCACATCACAAGGCCTGAACTCCCTTTCACTCGACACCTCAGCTGCTGAGCACAGCAGCATCCAACCCCCAAGCACACTGGACAGGTGATGCTGTTCACTAACTCCTAAGCCTGTCTAACTGGCATGCTGCTCCAGCTGTCTCCAGGCTGATGTGATTACACAGTGGCAGATTTCTGTACGCAGTTGCAGATGAAGCTGTACGCAGCACACAGTCACAATTACAGTGTTTGTTTTAATTCTATATAATTTTTTCAAACACACGCAGGTAGGTAGGCTGTGAATAGTTTGCTAAACTGGGTTCCAGTAAACATGCAATAAGGGCCACCCTTGCCCTGGAGAGCCCCAGTTCAGTTAGTCTTACCGGACAGCTTCAACAGTCGCCTGTAAGCTATTAATGAATCAAGCAAGTAATCTGTTCAACTAACAGGACTGGAGTACTTAAGGGCTAAAACACTCAAGGATTTTAGTCTTACATGTTCTCTTAACTCAATAAATTGCCGTTTAATTGATTACAATGGATTTGATCTATGCATTTAGAAATAGTCATTTTAATGGGGGCATGCAAATCCTGCAGGACTGGGGCTCTCCAGAATCATGGAGACCCCTAGTTTGCCTTTTAAAGAAGGCATGCTGCTGGAAAATAAAAGCTAACTACAGCACAGGTGGGGCAGAGGCCCTGCGGAGGCGTGCCGGTACCTTATGTTCTTGTGCCTTGGTCGGGGTGGTGGTGTTGCTCTTGCTGTCCTTGGACTCTTTCTGCTGACGTCGTCGAGCTGCCTCCTGTTCCTCCTGAAACACAGCAGGAGCAATCGGCCTCAGAGACAGACAGTCCGCCACACCTTTGCACCCCCCCCATTCTCCACCCTCCACCCCCAAACACAACCCCCAGGCTGAGCTGGTGGCGGATCACTGAAGGGCAGATGATCAGCTGCCTTTCTGCACCACTACTTCATGCCTACAGGAGACATGGGGGGACACTGATGGACACACATTCAAAACAGTCGATTTATACATGAGCCTGACCCGCTTTCCCAAAGTTCAAGCCTGCATTATTTCTATTCTGGCAAATGTGTTACTGCAGATACTCTGACTATCAATAGTAAAATCATATCAATAAGGACTAAAACACAAAATACAGTCAGGCTCAAGCTACTTCAATTGAAATAAGCCAGTGAAATAAGCCCTCGGTGCTTTCAGAAATTCAGAAAGCAGGCGATTATCAACGAGAGGAATGTTGTGAGTAATGCGGAAGGTGAGGAATGCGGCACTTACCCTGAGTTTAGGATTTTTGAGACTAGAAAAATAGTTTTCAAGCTACAATGAAAACAGAGAAAAGTCCCAGATTAACCAAGGAAAGAGCAGCAGCAGGTAGCAAGGTCCAACCTGCATTCTGTATTTTCATATTTCAGTCAGGGCACATTGTAATATAACATAATACAGTACACGTCAACATCAATAAATGCAAAATGAATAAAACATGCTCTGGAACCTGTTGGTGTACTCATCATATTTCAGTGGGACTGGCTGAGGCAGTCCACAGTAAATAAGGCAGGAAGCTGAAAGAGAGTCTAAAAGTTTCTCTCAACAAACAGTCCTCAGATATTGTTAAAAATAAGTTTATACACTAGACAGAGATGTTTTTCAACCCATCTAATCAACCTTTTGGATCATAAGGTCAGAAAAACGCTCATTCATGTCCAGACTGCAGAACCCCTAGTTGCACAGCCAGACATACCTGCGTAGGATCATTCTGTACACCTCAGGACTTGAACTAATACAATACAAAGACCTGGGCACCCCCACCAGTGAGCAGAAATCACAAACCCAGTGCCTGATGGCTCGTCTCCACTGGGTGAAAGAAAGAAACCTGCAGCAGACGGACCAACTAGCAGAGTGCTGCTCTTGTAATGTGCAATGGAAAGATCCGTTTTTTTTTTCCCGGGCTTTGATACTTCCTTGTTGGTTAAGACAGCTGGGTACATTCTTTGCATCACAAAAATAACTGTGAGAACTTAATATAATTTGGGAAGGATACTTCACCGTTAGGTTTTCTTGAATGTAATCTAGCTAAACCTCAAATATCAGTAAATCAAAATAGAGTGTCTCCTTGTTTGCTAACACATGATCAAAAGCAAAAGAAAGTATAAAATATTAAAATTGTTGCACTTTGATACGACCATAACCTGAAGTTCAACTTCAGTGTCATGTATCAGTAATTGCACGACATAATATATGTACATTACGTCTCACATTTTTAGCTACTGCTGTATTTAATCAATATTTCAAAAGTAACCCAATTAGGTTTTTGACTTGGAGTGAAGTAACAGGTGAGGTTACACAAAAATAATGGAACAGGTATTCAGTAATGGAATACTTTTTCAGAGTCAGCCTCCTAACACTGGAGGTCATCACTGGAGCCAAGGGTGTGTCCAGTTCGCGCCCCCTGGTGTCTGGGCCTGCTGGGAGCAGCGCAGCAGGCAATACTCACTATGGTGCGGTCTATCGTATGCAGGTAGTAAGAAACTGGCTTCCCAGTCCAGGACACAGAGCCTCTCAGTGGCGACAGCTCTACCACTCTCATTATTGTGCCAATATCTGCAGGGGAGGGCACGGAGGACAAAGAAAAAAAACGGAATCATTTTTGTGGGGGGGAAACAAAGCAAAGGAAAAGATTACTGTCAATGCAGCGTCGCAGTGCATCTGCTTTCCCCTCGGCAAGCAGAACGCAGAGGGAAGCGAGCGACACCTCCTACCCCTGACAACTCATCAATTAAACCTGAACGACGGCAGCACTGCTGCCGATAAGAGATACTAACACCAGTGACGCGCAAAACAACAACAAAAAAGAGTGCTTTCCACTTACCACTCAAGTTTCGGCTGTTTATTCGGAAGTTTAGAGGTGCAAAAGGTTTTGAGGATACGATTTTGCCACCTGGGGAAACAGGTACAAGACGGGAAACGCAGACAGGAGGTTGATATTCAGCTTTGAGAAGCACGTATACAACAGATTTAGATTTTCATATTTTATTTAAGAGCCCTTTGTAAGATACATATTTTCAGGTCCTTCTCATTATTTCCTATAAGAAAGCTCTCATTAAATCAGAAACAATACATCACCCAAATGACTTAAGACTCTGATCTTTACTCTCTCTTGTAAATACTTATTAGACGTTATTACACAAGACTGTGTTTACCATGTGCTTGAAATCATTAAAGATCTGAGGGACAGCTGCATGGCGCTGCGCGGTTTCTCAGAAGCCTGCACCTACCTTCCTTCATGTTAGCAAAACGTTCCTTCAGCTGGTGATCCACCTCGGGACCAAAGGCAAAGTTATTCACAAATATCACACTGCAAGACAACACGTGGATTATTACACAGAAAGGCAGCACTTCAGAGAAAACAGATCAAACACAGAGGAAGGAAAAAGGAGAACGGGTGCCTAACTGCGTGTGCACACTTCCGTTTTTGAGCTTGCGGGCACATCTGACCGTGGGTGCGAGTGCATGCTGTGGCTGTATGCGCGCGTCAGCTAAATTGAACTGGATGCAGGATGCCAGTGCATTAGGGAGTCCACAGAGGCCTGGACAATTGAACAGTGTTAATGTGCTCCAATTATGCTATTAAGTATTAAATGTGGCAGCTAGGATCTGTGGCGAGTAGTCTGAAGAGTGTACGGCCAGCAAGGGCTGGAGAGGAGCACTGTCAGAGAGTGGCCATGCCCGTGGCGGTTGCTGCTGTCAGCTCTCTGTCTGGGACGGGTGGCCTCCTCACAGCTTTACCTTGTGTTTGCTATTCTCTCCTTCCACTCCTCAGACAAGAAGTCCCCTCTCTCCAGCTGGGAAACAGACAGGGGTAGGTTAGACCAATGCAGGGTTCCAGAATGAGTCAGAACTGAGGGCTGTCAGTCTTGGGTATTGTGTTGAAGTTTAAGTTGATTCCAGCCAAGGCTGGAAGTTGGAGTTTCTCCAGATCAGCTTTTACACATCAATTCCCAGTTCTCTTCATAATGCTGCAACTCGAAATAGACAAAACACTATCTGCTGACCAAAAATGGTCATAAGACGGGGAAAGAAATGCTGACATTTTATACCTTAAAGGATCTGCAGTTGTAGAAATGTAATTATGGTGTTTTAAGAGAAAAAGAAGTGGAGACAAATGTTCATTTAAATCAATGTGCAACAGAAAAAAGTATCTTTGCCTACCTTGCAGTACCGCCTGGATTGGATTATTTTCATTATTATACATAACAGACTTTTATGAGCCTGTTATTTGATTTCAATAAGTAAGACCACAGTTTAAGTCTTCACCCTATACATTTATGATCATCCAAAAAGAAATTAATATTATTTGTTCTGCATATAATGGCAAATTAATTTTTAATAAACCATAGCTGATTTAATTCTAAAATATTTCACAGTTGTAATAAAAATAAGAACCCGTTTGACAGACAAAACCAACACAGCCTACAGTGCCCCCCTGCAGACACCCTGCCAGATCAACAAGCGTCTTAATCAGCTTTCTCTTTCTACACACCCTAATTTGGCCATGCCCTTCCTTGAGAGTTAAAATCTAATCCACGTTATCCACAGCATTCCAAGGAAATCTTTAACCTAGACTCCTCCTGTTTGTTCCCCCAGACTTCTCTTGGTGCATTAGACCAGCTTTGCACACACAGTGCTACTGATCCCTGAGCAGAACTGTGAGGCCCCAGTTGGCCTAATGTGTCACTTAACTTAAGGGAGGCCAGGACTCACGCGGCCCTGTTACTCACTCGTAGGCCTGGGGGGGGGGGAGGGGGTACTCATTATTCATTCCAGCCCCCCCACCCGTTAATTTTGTGGAGGGGGTGGGGGGGGATTTCTGTCCAGGTCGGGGAGAGATCGGATTGAGCGCTACTGGTCGGCGCCATGATGGCGGCGACACCAGGAGCTTCCAGCGACCCGGGCCGGCCCACTCACCGTGTACTCGCCATGCTTCTTCCCGTACCACCTCATCCACTTCTTGAACTCCTTGTCCATCGACTGCAGAAACAAGCACAGGGCGGCTGGTCACCCCACCGCTTCCTCATCACGCTGACCCCCCGAGCCTGCGGCTCCCCTCTTCTCTACACACGCCTGCTTCTGGTTTCGCGCCCGTTTACGACCCGACTCCTCGCGGTCCAGCCCGGAGGTGGCGAACACGCACCATAGTTAACTTTACCTTTGTAAGGATCAGTATATAAAATAATCGGGCAACGGGAGACTCTCCTGGGTCGGTTGGGAGGGGAGTGGGGTTCGGGGGGGGGGGGGGAGCCTCACCTCGGCGTAACTTGCTGGGATGTCCGCCTTCTCCACACCATAGAAGTGTTTGCAGTTCGTCGCCGCGGCAACCTGCAGCACCACCTGTCCCACACCTGTGAGCCAAAGAGGAGCCCGTTCCAATCAGTCAATCTGAACCAGCCAACGCAATCCGCCTCCTCTTATTACTGACACACCAATAACAAGGATAGGTCCTTCCAATTCAGATAACTCCGCACATTCATGCATCCTCAACAATGAGCTGCAAAGCCTCAGGCTCGATACACGTCTGCACTACAGACTTTTTGCATGGTCTACCATGATTTTTTCTCTCTAACCACCACATATTTATTGTCCACAACATTTATTATGATTTATAATAATGATAATTATTCCTGTTATTTATTATGTTTGTAATGTGCTGTCCACGTTGTGGTGTTGTCTGCTGTACTGTCCATGTCCCAAGAGATCAGTGCGATTAAGAATTCCAGTGTACATGTGGCAATAAACTACTCTACTACGCATAGGGAGCCTTATATTTCAAAAGGTCCCCAAAGCAGATAACAGATAGGAGGGGATCCACTGATCTCAAAGGAATAACGCGGCAAGAGAGCGGCTGCTGACCACTGCCGAGGTCCACAAAGGTGTCTTCCTCCATCATCTCCATCTCGTCGATGATCTGCGCCACCAGGTCGAAGGAGGTCTCCCCATACACCTCGGGCGAAAAGGGCTCGTAGTTGTTGAGCTTCTCGGGGTCGGTGACGGAGTGGTTGTACACCTGCTGCAGGATGTGCCTCAGCAGGCCGTTGGAGGGGCGAGTGTTCAACTTCATGGGCTGGGTGGTGCCCTTCCACTGCAAACACACAGCCACACGAGCACCTGAGACAGCTGTACAGCTGACAGTATTTCATTTGTACTGCACACCGCAGTTTCTAGGCCATTTCTTCCATCGTCCACACTTTATAATCACTACACACCCTGAGCACTCACTGCTATATTCTCCTTCCGGTCAGCTTCAAAAAAGTGGTCAGAAAAGAGCTCAGGAATACCTAGTACTTCCAGGTCATTCCATGGGAGCATCACTCCAGCCAAACTTTAAACCCACCCTTAATCACTCTGTTAACACTGTTGCTATAGTAGTGAGAGACAGATTACATGAAATACTAAGACTTGCAAGGGACTGATGTTTCAGATTTGAGTGCACGCTATCCAGATCACTTTAATCTCACCTATTCAAGTTACTGGACTCTTGTTAGGCTTGTTAGGCAGTTAAGCAGTTTCATTATTTCTACTCACCAGCTGATGGATGCTGTCGATCGCCCTGTTGTACTTGTCACACAGCCTCTGCATGCTCTCAAAACTGCAACAGAGAAAGCAACACCAACACATTGTTAGATAAATAAAAATACTCACTGTGAGACAAACCCTGAAACCGCATAAGAAGCCTCTCATGACCAACTTCTACAATGAGAAATACAACAATAGGGACAGAAAAATACCCCGTCCACACACAGGGTACACACAATCACTGGGCAACAGAGTTTAGCATTTCAACCTCAACACCTAACAATAGCCCACTACTAGGGCTGGGCGATATACCGAAAATTTACCAATACTGACGTTAAGAATCTCCACCGACCTAATTTTGCTTATGTCGGTATGTTCGGTAAAGGCAATCCCCACTGCGTGCTTTCATGAGCATGCAGTAGGGAAAGCCTTAAAAAACTGCAACACCCAGTCGTCAAATCCAGTCACATGCTTCTGCCTCGTCCACCCCTTGCTCTTCATTCGAAAAACAAAGACGCGTGCCGGGCATGAGGCAACACAAGCGCTCATGCTGAACCCCAGTCAGGCAGGGAGGACTCGAGTACAAACGAAGACGAGCTGGTATCTAAAAAAGATTCCGTGTCCATGGTTTGGCCACATTTTGGCTTCAGCAAACAGGATACTAAACAAAGAGAAGTCAGATGTAAACTGTCGGAAAACCATTTTCTGTGCCCAAACGTAACATGAGAATTTTGTTTCATCACTTGAAACACAACCATATGAAGAGTGCACGAGAGAGACTGACAAGCGCACTCAGGGCCGAAGTGATTCCCCCAAACAGCTGTCTCTAACGCAAGCATTTACTAATGCCACTCAATGTGCAAAACATTCACGCAGAAGGAATGAGATAATTTATATTGAAAATTTATAAGATGCGAGACATTTAGATTTAGTCTGCATTTGATAAATATTCAAAGTTCTATATTTTTCATAAATGCAATGTTTAAATGTTCAATTAACGTTCATTAAAAGTTACTGTGTTTCCATGAATTATGTCCTTAAAATTATTTGTAAGACACTGAGATAAGATGAGGTGTCTGTGGCTTTAATCGTTTTGCATATTTAAAACATGAGCTTTCAGCATATCATGTAATCATATAAATTCAAGGGTTTAAAAAATTGTTAATTTATCATTAAGAGGTAAATATGTGAAATTATTGTGATACTGATTTGAGGTCATATCGCCCAGCCCTACCCACTACCATCATCTAAAGCAATGTGGACTGCACGACCTGCTGCCCTTTGATCCCTGATCCCATGCTGAAAATGGTTCGCTCTCACCTTTTGGTGTCATAGTCAATCAGTACATAGTTCTCCATGGCCAGCTTCAGGTCTGGAATCTCCTCACACACCCACCTTTGAATGAGCAAAAGATAAGGATCATCTTCAACACCTGCTCTGGTGAGTTAAAACTGTGCACTTAAGAGCATCCCACTCCATTAGGATTACTGTATTTGAGGTTGGAGGTATTTTTAAAATATTCTATGAAAGCAATGGTTTTAAATGGTGGTCAGAAAGCAGATGAAAATGCCCAATGCACTTATTAACACTGTGGTTGTAGGTGGTGGTAGGGTATAGGGATGAGAGAATAAAACTGATTTTAGTTCTTACCGAATTGTTTCAATAATTTCATGAGCAGCATCATGGTGTTTATCCTGTAAGAAGAAAGAGAGACAAAATGGAGTTAAGAAGCTGAAGACAAATATCTTGACAGAAGAGCACATCACACCTGCCTGTAGACCTGCAGAGAGGGACAGCCGTGCCTGTCCTCTGGTCAGCATTTCAGACCAACCTGCCTCCTCGCTTTCCAAGCTCAGGTTCTCATCAGCAGAAAGCTGCTCATCCCAGTAAAGGCGGCACCAAGCCAGAGCCTCTCCTGGCAGGACAGAGCACAAGACTGGACTGAGGGCACACAAGTCCACTGCAGGGGACATCTGAGAAGAGCCAAGCAAACCAGCAGAAACCCCATGTGAACATGAGAAGATCATGCAAATTCCACGCAATAGTACAGCTTCCCTCTTTTGCACTGTAGACTGCAGATTTTAGACCACTGCATAAAGCATTACACCGTATAGCATTTACATTGTTACCTGGCAGTTTTAAAATGTACCACTGTATGTAAATTACAGAAGGTAAGTTTCCTTGGATTAAGGAGTCAACTGAACTACAGATAGCTCACTGCCACTCCGACCAGACTGTCAGAACCCCTGCCAGCACACTCCTGTTTGTGCCAACAGGCAAGTGTGTTTTCAGCCTGTAGGCAAGACCACCCGAGAGAGAGAGAGAGAGAGAGAGAGAGATCTCCAGCAAGTGACTGCTGACAAAAAACACACGCTGGGCTGTTCAAGGGTCAAGCCAGTAGACGTTTATTCAAACCGATTCGGGGACTGAAGAAGGAAGAATCCCTCTGCGTCTATTAGATTTAGTACCACCATCTACTGTCTCCTCTGTGTATTCTCATCGTGTTTATCTTGTGGATTTCTTATTGTTCATTTGTAATTGTTGCTGTTGTCATTCTGTAAAGCGCTTGCAGGAGTCACCTTTAAAGGCGCTATATAAAATAAAGTTGATTGTTGACTCCTCTGGGCTCTGTCGCCAGGGCAGCGGCGTGCGCGCTCTGTGCTGGCAGCACTGTGGTGTTTTGGATTTGGATTGAGAGCGCAGTGCTGCCAGAGTGACTAATCCCTCTACACTCGAACAGAGGAATTCAGGAATTCTAGCCATTCGCCTCCCTGACCTACTGACCCAGTTCCTGGTTCCCATCCCACCGGGGCGCCTGCGAGGCAGGCGGCTCAGGTCTCTCCACTCATAGAATGAGACAGTTTCCTGTTTTCCACCCCTGTAACCCTTGTGTTCCCGTCACGTTGTGGTAAAGTACACAATTTCACTGCCTGGGTGAAGTTATCTTGATTTTCTCTGCCATTCCCCACAAAGCTAATAAAAGCTGAAGCCTTCAGAGCGCCGTGTTTCATTTTAACTTTTTTTTTTGGCTTGAAGCGCCTGCTTTTGGGAGTAAAGGACGCTGTATTTCACGCTAACCGAAAGCGCACGTATACATTCACATATATATATACCCAAATTCGAAAGGGAATAAGGTACACACGCACAACTTTCAATTTTATATTAAAAACTCTCTTTTAAAACACGGGCTCGCCCACCTCACGCGGGCCGCCGTGTAAACAAACCCGCGGGCGCGCCCGTCCCCGCCGGGAGCGAGCGCGACGGCGAGGCGCGCCGGGCCGGCTCACGCACAGACGGCGTGCCGGGGCACGCGCGGCACGGCTAAAAATAGCCCCCAGCGAGCGAGCGAGCGGGCGGGATCAGAGAGCTCTGCCTCCCTCCGACCAGCTGCAGGGGGGAAGCGCAGCAAAACCCAAAAAAACTGCACGGAAGTGACTCAGGCGAACACGCTGTCCCTCTCTTACTACCGTTCTCTTGCTCATCTTTTGCCCCAGACTGAGTCACTGGCAGGGGAGTACAGAGATGAGCAAGATCGCGCCCCTTCACTCCACATTACTCACATTACTCACAAGAACAAGTGACTAACAAGAGCACGTCTGTTACATAAACAACGAGAAATGTGTCAGCTCCCCGCCTCCCTGAATGTCCTTTCTGAGTCTCATTCAACCCCCTGTTAGTCTAATTGTAGGATGGAAGTTACACTGATGAGCTGTTTCGTTTCCTCTTTGTTTTTGAATCAGTCACCGGTCTGTGCTGCGTGTTCACCGAGTCACGCCTGAGCGATACCAGCAGGACTCTTTCTGGGGTGTGCGGGGAATGTTTTCACTCAGGCCGGAGGTTTTGGAAAGGGCTGTTTTTCCTGCCGGTTCTTGGCAGAGACGTCTGTTTGTGTTGGAGTCGGCAAGTGTTGTGCGTAGCATGTGGATCTGAGGGCGTGTGAGAGTCTGAGTCAGGGTGTTTACGGTGTGGGGTATGGGGGAGAGTGTGTGGGTGTCCCACACGCAAGTGGGTTGACGATCGACCGCGCTAATCTATCCAGTTCAGTCAACAGCACAATGTGAAAGTATACATGACTGAGCTCTGTATTTACACAGAGGTACACAAGGCAAACGCACGCACACACAGTGCGCCTCTTTCCAGAGCTCAGAGGTGTTCTTCATATGGAAGCAGTTTGGGATGATTTAATGAGACAGATGAGGAGTGCGTGTGTCTGAGAGAGAGAGAGAGAGACAGGGTGTCTGGAGTTGGTTTCTCTGTGAATGTGTCTATCCTCTCTCTGTGCAGACAGTGGCCATGTACAGCCAAGCTGTATATTAAAGTGAACACATTAGTGGTACTTTCATACACTTACACACGGTAACCTCTCCCAGGACTGCTGGACGACTGAACTAAAATCAGCAAATTCAAACTGGGTCAAAAAGTAATCTTTTTTTTTTATAATGGGTGTACATTAAAAAGGACTGTGGTCACTGACCAGCCCACTCTCAGGGGGACCATTTGCAGATCACAAAGACAGAGGCCGTGGTCCCCCCGACTATGTCCGACTATTGTTCGTGCAGGAGGGTCACAGAGACCTGCGCAGCGCAGCTACACCCACAGACACCGCGACTATTCCAGGACTGAGGAAACACCATGAGTCAAAGATTTGAGTACATCTGTCTTGAGTTGTGGAATTGAAAGGAAGAAAATTGCCTGTTTAGAAAAAATAAAACAGGAAAGACTGAACAAGACTCGTGGTGCACAGGAGTTGGATCCATGTCAGGTTACACCAGCTCCAGAATTTTACTGACTGCATTGCTGAAGCTCAAATGCAAATACTGTGCATTCAGCAGCATCGATGCATGTAAAGAGCATTAACCACTTCCCGACTTTAAAAAGAAGCATACAAACCCCCCGACTTTAAAAGGGAGCTGCCAGGTTTATATCTTTGATAAGAAGCCTTGTCAAGGCAGCCAGGCAACTTAGCTGCAAATACAGATAGTGACGCATTCGGCTGAAACTCGGTAAACATGCGCAATTGCAGCTAGCATGCACTGGCTGAAGGCGCCAAGCTTATGGAGGCCAGTGCTGGCAGTGTAGGTGGCTCTGTGCTTGCACAGGACAAAAAATGCAGATCCAGACCACAACCGTACACCAGGCGGAAACAACACCGGACCCCCCCGAGCACAGCTGCTCGAGGCACCGAGAGATACCAGCTCTTGGATCAATTGTAACATGAATGCGGTTATTAGTACAGTGGCCTTTCATATACAGGAGAGTGACTTCATCCACCACCTTAGGGGAGAAGCCTTTCTGCACCAGTAGCTCAGCTGAACAGCAGGGTGAAGCAGAGAAGCAAAGATAAAAAGTGGAGTGGAAATTCAGGCCGGACTGAGCGCGTCTGAAATCCGCCTTCACAGGCCGTGGGCTCTCTGAACATCTCATTCCACAGAAGAGGCTGAAGCTCGAGAGAAATGTTTAGAAGCCATAGATAACTTTCACCTCCATGTCCGGTCTATGAAAGTCTGCTCAAAAGCGAGAGCAGGCCTGACATGACCAGCACCTGATCCTGGAGCCTGTACAAAAACAGGTAGCAGGTAAACCCTGGCCTGGAATGAACTGCTGAGCAATAGGACAGCTTGTCCTCTCCTTGAGAGGGAGCAGGAGAGCTGACAGTAGACAAGGCTGACTATAACCCACATTACTGGGAGCTCTGTCAAGAGGAAAACGCAGGTTACCTAGTTTAATCCCCAGAAACCATGTCCATATTTAACAGCCCACTGGTGACTCAGCCCTTAGCAGCCACAGGTGCTGAGACACCCCCATCGGCACGCAAGACCAGTTTTCCAGATGGTTGGGTATTCCAGGGAAACCAGCATTCGTCATCAGCTTTCTCTGAAATCGGCAGAATAAAAGCAATCTCTCCGATCAAAACGCGCACACAAAAAACGTACACAGGTGATTAAGTCACGACTATTTTCCTTCGAAAACCACATTCAGGGTTTTTTCTTTGACGCTACAGATTTTTTTTAGCACGCTTCTTTATACCGAAGTTCTTAGAAAAAAAGATAACGGAAACAGCCTCAGAGTACTGTCAAAAAACCACAGCCTTCTCGTCTCTCTCCGATTGTTTTTGTATTCACTCCCTCATCCATGCCTCCGTTCAGACCACCCTCCAATCTGATAAGGGCAGCCAGACGCCCCCGAGCGGTGTCACCTCACGCAGAGCTCTCAGCTGCCCGGCCTCCACCTCCACAGCCTGCGCACATCCACTCCCAGACACACCCCTCTGACGCCTGGTCTGGTCGACCAGCTCTGCTGTTGCACAAGCGGAGACAAATGTTTACCCCATTGTCTTATCTCGTCACACCGCACCACAGGCGGGGGAAGTGAAACTCTGTTCGTATGTTAGCAAAACAAGTTTATGTCAACTCCCAACGTGCTTTTCAAGCCTCCCTGTCATCTACTACACCTCAGGACAGCAGAGAAGCGTTCTGTTTAATTCTTACACTGTCCGGGGGGGGCGTTGCTATTCCTGCGTGTCCTCAGACAGTAATGATATGAAGATTAAACACAAGCTGCGCCATATTCTTTCCTGCAGGAGCAACACACATGGTCTGCACATTCCCAGTTGTGGCAGTGGTATGCTTGGCCTTGGACAGGCGCGCACCTGCACGCTGCCGTCTCCCTATTCCTAAACTGGAGCAGGAACTCGCCCATTCATAGATCCCAGCAGACTTCTGTTGTAATGCTTCGCGTCAATACTGTGCTTTCTTTAACTCGAGCCTGAATTGCACAGTGATTCTTTTCTTAAGAGCGGGGAGGGCCAGCTTGCACAAGGAGCACACCGCTCCCGACGAGGACGAGCAGGGAGTTCCCTTAGGATGAAATCCAGCGCACGGAGCCCTTCAGCAACGCCGCACGTTTCACTTCAACGCGCGTTCGGGACAGCATGACGTCATGACGACAGATCAGAGCGATGCGAGACGGAGAATTCATCCCGGAACTAGGTCAGGCGCACTGTGGGAGGCGGCCGCTGGGAGTCGCGTCAATCCTGCCGTTTCACTCGCTACCTGAAGTGACCCTTGACGGCCGGCACACACGACAGGCTGACCGGATCTCGGGGGGGGCGGATCGGCGCCAGCTCCGTATTTTTAACACCGGTGCTCTTTCTATCCCAGCAGCTCAGTCCAAGTGTCCCGCCCCCCAGGGGCTCTCCACTCGGGACACGAGCACGTATCCCAAAACACTGGACTCTCGTTCAACGCCCACCTGGAGACCACCAGCACAAAATCGGATCCGTGACTTTATTTGAAATGGGGAAAGCGCCAGTCTCGACTGTCGCGTTGAGAACGACGAGATTTGATTAGTCTAAACATCTGCTTGTAAATTCATGCTAAATACCTCTGCGATGCATCACGGATTTAAGGCAGACGGTGACCTTATGCGTCTGTCCTACATCTTAAAAATACTAACCCGCATTAAAACACCTCATGTAAGTCACTATGTCGTTTTCCGTACGGCACCCAGCTAAACTGTACCAACTAGCCAGCTGTCAAGATTGCTTCGCGAAACGTGTATCAATTAGTTCTGTCTGAGCTTTCATGTTCCGACGCAAATGCAGCATTCTAAACACGGTGCAGCAAAACCAGAGACTGAAATCGCACCCCTAACGACCAGCCCTCCCTTTTAAAAAAATAAAACATGCAAAAATAGAAAATAACCGAGACGACGACCCCCCAGCCGCTGAAATACTACTGCAGGCAGAACCAGTCAGACACCAGACAGATCTGGTCTAAATAAGACGCCCCCGAGGGCCCCAGTCGCCTGTGATTATATGACATCCACAGACGTCGCTAAACCAGCTTTCTGGGGGGCTTAGGGGGGGAAAGAGGGGGTACGCTACAGCCAAGACAAAGCAATCGAGCAGCTAAGCGGGCATGGAACCCCGAGTCTAAACTCCAAGAACAAACTCCAAGACACACAAACGCAAAGGCTGCCCCCCCACCACCCGGGGGACACGGGGCAGCGCACGGGACCCCCTAAAACAGAGGGAAAGAGGGGGACCCCCCCCTGCTACAGCCCAGCGCAGCCCGGAGAGAGCCCCCGACCTGCGGCCGTGCGCCATCTCCTCTCCTCTCTCGGAAAGGCAGAAAGTTTGGAAAGACTCCTCATCCCAGCCACAAGCCCGCACGAAGGGGGTCCGTCCTCATGTGCTGTTGTTGTTGTTTTTTTCTGTTTTGAAAACCCCAGTACCCGGTTGTGAGAGTCTGCGGGTTTTTTTTTTTTTTTGGACGCGCCGGCCCGTCGACGGGGACGGGACGGGAGGACGGCGAGAGCGACAGCAACAACAATGACCCGACCCAGCCGGAGCGCAGCCCGCCGGCCTGCCAGGCGAGGCCAGGCGAGGCGAGGCGCCGCACGGACACGGCGGAGCCGGGATCCCCGCAGGGGGCGAAACCCGCACAAACAGAGGATTTAGGCCAGCGGCACTCACGTATATGGGTAACGGCCACGGGTAGCCCGCCGCCTCGGCTCCCACCGGCGACTTCAGCTTCAGTTCCAGCCTCTCTCCCATCACCTCCGCTCTCCTCCGGCGTTAGAAACCGAACATTTTCACAGAAATATCGGCAGCGGGAAAGAGAGGAAGAAACTCCGAGTAGGCGGGAAAGGGGAGGAGGAGGAGGGAGGAAGGCGGACAATTTTTTTTTCAAATTTTTTTCCTCTCCCCTCGATCTCTCTCTCTCTTTCTTTTTTTTCTCCTCTTTATCAGTTCGAGCGACTCCGTCCCTCCAGGAGCGCCGCCGCCATCTTGAACCGGCGTCAGGAGAAAAAAACCCCAGTTCGACCCGGCCGCTACCAAGAGAGGAGGGCGGGGGGGGGGGTGAGACCGAGAGAGGAGGGGAGGGGAAAGTCAGCCTCCTGCCCACAAAGAGAAGGCGGTTTTCTCGGTTGATCCCCCTGGGAACGGGGGGGGCTTTCTCTGCCGGGGCTGAGTCGCCGCTGGTTGGCGAGAGTGACGTATCCCGGTAAGGTGGGGGGGGGATTTGAAAGGAGTCGCTCGTGCCAATAACGGTCAATGGGCGGGCGGTACCATTTCCCGGCGGCGGGGGCGCCTCCCCTCCACGCCGAGCGGCGGACAAAAGCCAATATTGTGCCGGAGCCGCGCGCCGCGCCGCGCTCGCACGCACACCCCCCGTCAGCCCCCGCTTGCTTTCACTTTCTCTCTCGCCGCCTGGCTCCTGGTGGCCCGTTCACACGGGAGCCTCCCAGGTCGTGCTTAGTTATTGGCCGCCGGGGCTCTGTCCTGCACGGTGCTCCGTGACCGCTCACACACCAGCACGACATCGCCGCGGGGATGTGAGCGTGCCCAAGTCACGCGCGTCACACGTGGAAACTCATACTGATTGTTCTGTGGATTAATCACGAGTTCGTGCCGACAGAGTCGTCTCGACAAGGCAGGGCGGACAGAGGACTGTCCATGCAGCTTCAGCACAGGACTGCCGGCCAGGGGAATGAAAACAGGGGCAGTGCGGTATGAGACAGGACGGGACAGAAGGCTCCTCCCGGGCCCCCCGCCCCACGCGTGTCCCGCAGAGCGCACAGATGGCCAGGACACGGTCTGATCATCCCCGCGGGTCCGGAGTGCGTGCGTGCATGCGTGCACACACACATCTCCGCGAGGACCCCCCCGCCGTGCCAGTGCGTGCGTGAGCAGCGGGGCGCGGGGGGTCGGTTGGACCTGCGGGTTTATCGCGGGCCTGTGCGCGCGCTTGGCTCGGGAGTGGGGGGGGGACAGCCGAGATTCCGCGCGCCTCCCTCCGCTGCCACCTGGCGGACAGAGGCGGGACTGCGCGCCTCCTCTGGACACGAGCTCAGCCGGGCAGCGCCTCGTCTCCGAGACCTGCTTTGGGTCATAGCGCCCGTCATTGTAAACCTTTCCACCCAGGTTAATGTGTTTAAAAAGGCAAACACAAATACCCCACCTGCAGCTCGGAGCACTTTCAAACTCAATGCCCAAAGGTCCCTGCTGTGCTCAGCTCACTTAAACCCTCAGGATTACATAGCAACTCTACTCATATTGAGTTTTATTCCGTTTCTATTGCATCCATTATTATGTAACCTTATTTTCATAACCTCAATTTTGTGATTTCTGTGATTTTTGTGAGCTCGCAGAAAAGACATCTCATTGCCAGCAACTACTGCTGCACGCTGTACTGCTGTGCGTTTGATAAATAAACTTTGATTTGATTTAAAACCTGATACTGCAGCAGGGAAGAGCGTGGAGCTGTGGTGTTTCTGGACCGCCGTAGATAACGTGAGACAGCCCCCAGTTTGCGCTCGCCCGCCCCAGCGCCTACAACCAATCCGCCACCTTCGAGAGGACACAAACAGGCAAAGCAACTGCAATGTCTCTTTATTAGTCTTAAACGGGAGACGAGAACAGGAGGGGGTGTCCGACGCGGGCGGATGGTTTCTCCTGTCCGAGCGAACGCCTGCCCCAGCTCTGCAGACACGGCGAGGCCACTGACCGCGGCCCCGGGTGTCAGTCGGCTGTGCTGGTTTGTGCGTGCTCCCTTTCCGGCCTGGTGTTGTGTCGCTTCCAGTACACCCTCTCACCCAGCCCTCCCTTTACAGAGTGCCAATTTTCACCCCCCCCCCCCCAAAAAAAAGCAAAACACATTTCCATTTTTGATTTTCACTACAAGGCCGGACTGCTGCAGCAGCACAGACCTGCAGCCCCGGAGTGGGACACCCCTCAGCACAGTCTCAGCCATTTCACACCTGTTCGTCAGCGTGCGGGTTACTGGGCAAGGAAACAAAGAGTCGTTACTGGAAACAAGCAGCCATGCTCATGCACTGGAGATTCAGGGCTCCAGTAGACTGAATA